TATCAGTTGTAAGTCTATTTTTTTTATATTTATTGCTATTATTACTCGGTTTGTAATATTGGAGCTTCGTATTTGTATGATCTAAATTATAGTTATCTATTATATATGATGATTATGTTAACGATTGAGTAAATGATTTTAAAAAATGATTAGTTACTTTGGTGATTTAGCACGAAACTTAATCTTTTAATATTAGATTGGATGAAATTAGAATATTACACACATATATATATGAACATGATTAGCTTACACTAGGTAAAATTAATAAGTTTTACACTAATTTATAGCCATTAGATTTAAATAAACAAATAAATGACTTAAATTTAATTAAAATTGATATCACATAAATAAATATCTTCTAACTCACAATTAACTCTTTTTACCTCAATCTCAAATCTTAAACCCTACACCATAAACCTTAAACCCTACACCATAACCCTAAATCCTAAACCCTAACTCTAAAAAGAGAAAATAATGTTTTACTATGAGTTAAAAATATTTATTTATGAGTTATAAATTCTAATTATTTATTTATTTAAATCCAATGACTATAAATTGGTGTAAAACTTAATTATTAATTATATATACATATATATTCCAAAATAGAAATTTTTCATAGGAGAATGTGAATGTATGTAAATATAAATTTAGCATATATATGCATAAAATTGTATCCCTTATGGTAAACTAAAATTTAGTATAAATATTAAGTTCCAAAGCAATTTAGTATAAATATAAATTTAAACAAAATTATGCGTGCATACAGACAACTATCACAAAGGCTTCCAAGTTTATTCGGCTAATTGCAGCCCCAAAATTTGATGGAAGAGGAGAGAAACCCCTTACCCCTCACCCAAAATAAAATATAAAATAAAAACAAACCTAAACTTTTAATACCAAAAACATTTTTATCCATATATCATTGCATAACACCAGAGGTCCAAAATCTCAGTATTTATAGTCCTTAACGTGAAGGCTCTCGGCAGCGCCCTCACCAAGCTTTGCATCACCATTGTAGGTACCAAGGGTAGCCTCAGAATTAGCCTTGCACCTAACTAGGAAAGCCTCTTGTGTTTTTCCCACATTCTCCTTTTTCCCACCCCATGCCTTTAGAGTGCTCTGTTGAAGAGCTCTTCCGAATGAGAATGAGAGCGACCATGGTTTCTTGGTTTGTAGCTTGTTCATGGCATTAAGGTTAATGGTAGCCTCTTCCTCACTTTGTCCACCAGATAAGAACACAATTGCAGGGACCGCGGGAGGTACGGCTCATTGCAAGGCACGGACCGTGTGCTGGGCGATAACCTCGGGTGCAACCTTTGGGGAATCCGAACCAGGGGTCACCATGTTGGGTTTCAACAATGTACCTTCGAGCATCACATGGTGGTCGTTTAGAGCTTTGTAGCAAGCCGCGAGTACACGCTCGGTTACATAGGCACATTTGTTAATGTCATGTGGTCCATCAACAAGGATTTCAGGTTCAACTATGGGGACTAGGCCACACTGCTGGCAGATGGCGGAATACATTGCTAATCCATTGGCATTCTCTTGGATTGCTAGCTCGGTTGGCTCGATAGTTCCGATCTTAAGCACGGCACGCCATTTAGCGAACCGTGCACCGGCTTGGTAGTACTTTTGGCAACGCTGGGCAAGGCCATCAAGACCCTGGGTGAAAGTCTCACCATTGGTTCCGTTAAGCTCAACCGTGCCAGTGTCAACCTTGATGCCTGGGAGGACACCAGATTCTTTCAACACATCAACAAAGAGCTTTCCTGCAATCAAGAATCAAAACCAACCATAATTCATTTCGGATTATGCATTCATTGACTGACAGTTTAAATTTAATAAATATTAACCAGAAGCAGTTTTTTGGTAGAGTGTTTCTTCAAAGAAAATAACGCCACCGATGTACTGGAGGACACCGGGAGCAGTGAAGAGGAGCTCTCGGAGTTATCGCCTGTTTTCTTCAACATTCTCTACATTAATGCTCGCAAGCCGCTTGCCGATTGTGCCGGTGGATTCATCAGCCGCTAGGATACCCTTCCCAGGGGTGCCGATGTAGGCAGCGTTTTTTGCTAGCTCATCTGCGACATTGTTTTATTTAAATTAAAATATCCCAATAAATAAATGTATACCATTACCATATAAAGATCTGAAAAATGAATTACCGGCGTATTTGCTAACGAAGCAGGACATGATTGGAAAACGAAAGGTCAGAGTGTGTTTGTGTGGGAAGAAAGAACTCAAAGAATGCAAGTGAAAAACCAAAACAAACGGTTTTTAAGAGACAAAAGGAGGCTGCAAAATTGGAGAGTTAGTGGAACAGAATAACTCACGCCCCATTAATCTTTCTTATAAAATATTTATATTAACTCATTAAAAATCTTTAACTATTTATATACCCAGAAAAATCTTTAACTATGAAAATATAAATAATTAAAAAAATTTAATTCAGATTACTAATATGGAGGGAAGTTACTAAAATAGGTTTTGTGGGATCCGCTGTACTTCGCAACCAATTAAGAGGGAATAAATAGAGTTCTTATGGGTGGTGAAACAAATGTGAGTATGATTTTGTGCTTGTTTCACTTTTATTTATCATGTTTGCTTAATATCATCGTGTCCCTCAATATACGTATTTAAAAACAAACACTTGGCAGCAAGAATTCGAGCAACAAGGCAACTTGGATTGTTCTTCCCAAGCATTGAAACGTTAAACATGTGAAGATCATGGAAGCCAAGCCCACCTAGACGTTTGGGTCGACAAAGAGTTTCCCACGAGATTAAAGGTCATCCTTTGCTTGGAAAAGTATTTTCACTGCTCTATCGAAGTTGCGAGAGGGATTTTTCTGACGTATCGGTATGAATAGTCATGTTCTTTTATCCCGTGTAGGGTGGGGAGACAGTTTTATAATGTGAACCCCAACGACTGTCTTCAGCTCTCTTTATAACAATTTCTTGATTTAATCCACGACCACTAAAGATTTCACCACTTTGTAATGCTTCTCTTACCTTAATCATTTGATTAGATTGAAGGATTTTTTTTCTCTTACATGAAGCACCAACCACATTAACCACACTAACAACCAAATTAAAAAGAAACGCAACCTCAACTTGTTTTTTAACAATAACAACATAAAAAGCACACTCATTATCTCTTAGAATCAAACTTTTAAGATCATTAATTCTCTTTGCATATTACTTGCTTCGTCATAACCTTGTCCTCTTAGTCTTGAAAAAGATAACTAGAGTTGTAAACACATTTTCAAGAGCATTCATAAGTGAAACAGATGCGGTACTAGAAACATGAACAAGACAAAAATTATTCAACAACTCTTCCTTTATTATCTACATAGCGTAGAATGATAGCCAATTGCTCTTTAACAAATATGTCATGAGACTCGTCAACTAAAATAGCAAAAAAAAATCATTTCCAAGATCATCAATGATTGCACAAGTAGTCTCACTAGCAGCTACATTAACAATATCTTTTTGTATGGTCAGTGCTACAAGTTTAAGATTTCCACGAGCATTTTTAAAAACTTTGTTAATAGTTTCATTATGAGTAGCAAGAAATTGTAAAAGCTCTAGAAAGTTACCTTGATTACAAGAATCTTAAGATTCATCATGTCCATGAAGAGACAATCCTTGTTGCAAAAGGAATCAAACACAATCAATGGTAGTCGTAAGATGAGTTTGATATTCTTGTTTGACTTGATTAGATTGCTTTGTGATGACAACTTCAACATTTTCTTTTGATTCATTAGAGCTTCACATTTTCTCCAAGCTACATTATGAATACTATTAGGATCTTCAACATGAAGTTGCAATCCGCTCTTATCTTTCCAATTTTTAAATCCATCAACAACAAATGTATCACCTCCCCCTTGCTCTCCTTTAGATTCAGGTCTCATGAGATAACAATGTAAACAAATTATTGCATCTTTGGACACATTATATTCTAACCAACTTTTTTGTTCTTTGAACCACGTAGGATTGAAACTTCGTAACTTATCATTATACTTATTCTTAGGAAACTTGTGTTCTTTTGGTTGGTAAGGACCTTTCAACAAATAAGCCCTTCGAATTTCTTCATGATCATTAGGATGATATTCTATAATCATTGGTCTTTTTCCAAGATCTCCTTGAAGATTTTTTAAATCAACTTGTAAAAATATTTTTTTTCCGAACATGAATCATCTGTTGTTGTCTTCCTTTTAAAATATTTTTCCATACCTAAATAAAAAAAGAAATAGAACTAATTCAATTGTGACATTAAAAAGCACATAGAATAAAAAAAGAAAAAATATCTTGTGTACAATGTCATTCAACACTACAGCAAAATGGGTTAATAGCGACATTTGTAGCGGCACTCGTACTATAGCGGCGTTTTAATAAAAACGCCGCTAAAGACTAATTTAGTGGCGTTTTTGTACAAACGCCACTATAATACGAGTCTTTACCGGCGTTTTTTATACAAACGCCGCTATAGACTCATTCTATAGCGGCGTTTTTACAGAAATGCCACTAAATAATTTACTTTAGTGGCGTTTTTATACAAACACCGCGAAAGACTGTAATTTAGTGGCGTTTTTAGAACAAACGCCGCTATAGACTCGTGATTTAGTGGCATTTTTATACAAACGCCGCTATAGTACGAGTCTTTAGCGGTGTTTTTTATACAAACGCCGCTAAATACTCATACTATAGTGGCGTTTTTATATAAATGCCTCAAAATAATGTACTTTAGTGGCGTTTTATGCATAAATGCCGCCAGATACTCGTACTTTAGTGGCGTTTTAAGCACAAACACCACTAAATACTCGTAATTAAGCGCTCAAAGATGCCCTTCCTTTATTTTGGGTACAAAAATTCCTTTAAACTAAACAAAGGTTCTTCCATATAGAAAATCGCAAACAGAAAAGAAAAACACGGCAAAATGACGGGCGACACTCATCGTTCCAAATAAACAATTCAGATAAACCGTTTATTAACTAAACCGAACCAAATCAAAACTCGACGACTCAGATCTTCACCTTTTTTTCCTTTCCCGATTCCAAGTAAAATGCAAATGTCTCCGTTCCTATCAGAAAACGGCGTCGAAGGAGACGACGAGAGAGAAGAAGAAGACGAAGACGTGGACGACGATGAAGAAGAAGAGGGCGATGAAGAAGAGCCGAGGCCTAAGTATCAAAGAATGGGAGGTAGCATCCCGTCCTTGCTTTCCGGCGATTCTGCCTCGTGTATCGTCGTCTCCGAACGCATGATCGCACTCGGAACGCACGATGGAACCGTTCATATCCTCGACTTTTTGGGAAATCAGGTGAATTTTCCTTTCATTTCGAATCTTAATTTACCATTTTATTTTGGTATTTCGCATTTCAGTACATTTCCTTTTAATTCACATTTTCAATGAATAAGTACATATTTTAGCCAAAAATGTACACAATTTTGGATAAGTTAATTAAGTTAATCTTTTAGGTTTGTTTTGTAATTTATTGTATTTTGTAATTCTTAAGATTTTTATTTGGTTGATTTTAGGTTAAGGAATTTGCTGCTCATTCAGCTGCAGTGAATGACCTTAGTTTTGATATAGAAGACGAATATATTGGAAGATGTTCTGATGATGGTTCTGTTATACTCCATAGTCTTTTCACTGACGAGAAATTGAAATTTGAGTATCATCGTCCTATGAAGGCCATTGCACTTGATCCTGATTATGCAAGAAAATCATCTAGGAGATTTGTAACTGGTGGCTTAGCTGGCCACTTATATCTTAATACCAAAAAGTGGCTTGGCTATAAGGATCAGGTTTGTGGCGCTCGACTGTTTAGTATATTTGAGAAACTATATTTTTATGAATTCTGAATGTTGTGTATTTAAATGTGTTTTTAGGTTTTGCACTCAGGTGAAGGTCCAATCCATGCAGTGAAATGGAGAATGAGTCTCATTGCTTGGGCTAATGATATGGGAGTAAAAGTTTATGATGCTGCAAATGATCAACGGATTACATTTATAGAAAGACCAAGAGGGAGTGCTCATCCTGAAATCTTGCTCCCATATTTAGTGTGGCAGGTTAGTCAAAAGATTAAAATGGAAAATATATGCAGTTGTTTCAAACTTTCTTATGTTGTCTAAACTCTAAACAGCTGCAATGTTATATGCTGTTATTCATTTTCTAGAGTTCACTTATCCTACTAATCCTATGCCCTAGTCTTTATGAAGCATAGGTTGTTTGATCATTTATACCGTTGCTTGTTGTCTGAACCTATTCAGGATGATGCCTTATTGGTGATTGGCTGGCGAACCTATGTGAAAATTGCATCAATAAGATCAAATCTGAACAAGGGCGCCAATGGAACTTATAAGCATGTTTCAATGTCTAACATGAACCAAGTATATATTGTGGCATCATTTCAGACTAGCTGTTACATATCAGGAATTGCTCCTTTTGGTGATTCTTTGGTTGTTCTAGCCTATATTCTTGGTGAAGAAGATGGAGAAAAGGAATTTAGTTGCACAATACCTTCAAGACATGTATGCGTCCTTTACAGTTCTGAAAAAGCAATGGATTATTCCTTGGCACATGCTCCCTTCTCAGGTTGATATCTTCGTTCTTGAAGTTATTGGTTATTAGACAGAATTTCAGTGAATAGTTATAATGCTCTTCTCATATGAATGTAGGCAGCAGTTATGCCGGTGGACAGTGGGCTGCCGGTGATGAACCAATATACTATATTGTATCACCAAAGGATGTTGTCATAACGAAACCTAGGTTACTTCTGATTCTTTATATTTTTCTTTCTTCTTGAAGATTAAACTTGTCTTTCATTGAGAAAAATAGTAGAGTAGGAAAAAGATTGTGGTTTTTGTAGTACTATGCTCCAAAAAGAGTATGGTGCAGGTTGTCCCGTTGATGATTGTAGATTGTAAACAAGCAGTTAATTTTTTGTCATCAACACTTGCTGTGGGTTGGCTAGATATCGTGGTATGTGTCTGACAGACTAATGTGGTTTTATAGCTTAATAAAATTATGAAAGCATGTTAGGTTCTTTTTTTTAGTTGAATTTTATGACTGGATGCAGTTTTATATTTTCACATGCAAGTTAAAATGTTGAGCTTGCATGGATCTTATCAATTAGATCAACTCAGCAATCGCGAGGTTGGTAAGAGATTAATTATTATGCATTGCATCCAAAAGATGTAGCTCTATTTACCTTTAGTTTCATTGAAACATTTTAATAGTTAAGAGGTTCGTGCAAGTCTTTGTTCAGTTATTTGACTAAAATGTGTTTTAACTTGGAAACGATTGTTGTTATTATGCTAGTTCTGTTTTTGGTTGTTTCAACTAAGTAGTTCCATATATTCTTTGCATTTCCATCCGTCAAGCTTTTCACCTATTCACTTTTCTGAAGGTGTTCTGGTTTCAGTGTGCTCACCAGTAGACTCATTAGGGTTTGAGAAGTATGTTACAAATAATGTTGGGTAATGCTAATAGTCTCTGCTCTGCAACATGCCATTGGATAGAATTGTATATTTCTCACTTGTTATACATCAGGCCATTCACAATGGTATGTACTTTCCTTGTATTACATATCTCGTTTATTTATTTTCTTCTGTTAGGGGTTAGAAAGCATGTATAGTTTGGCACAGAAAAGCATTCAATTGAAACCAATGGCCTCTGCACATAAGTTGATGGGGCTTATAATTAAAATTCTTGGGGAAAATACTGAGGTAACAAATGGGGATAAAATATTAATTTACAATCTCCGTTAAATTCTCTTTTTGCTTCCTTATCTTTAAGTTAGATTGTGCTTTTGTCTGTTCTCAGGTTGTTTTAGCAGAATGCTTGAAAGGATTTGGTCCTTGGTAAGCTGTCATATTTCCATCTTTATATCTTTCTGTTTGTTAGGAATGCAGTTTTGGAGCCTTTTTCTGGGTGCTATTGATTTAAAATATGTTTGGTCCGATAAGTTGTTAGAAGTTATCATGAAATTCAAGCTTGGATGTTTCTGGACAATTATTAAGATCTATCTCTATATTTTGCTTATCATCACGAAGGTTGCCCATGCCATAGAGTTGTTGACTGCTGGGACTGACCATGCTGAAATGTGTTGTTAACTTTTTTAACGTAAGATATAATGGATTTTCATATAAACTGATGATTTATTTGGATATGAAACTAGAGATCGGGTTTGCATTGCCATGGATGGGGCCTTTTCAAGTGGCATGCCAATTGGAGTAAGACCTCATGAAGCAAAACATCTGTGCAAGAAATGACAGGACGATACTAGCTATGCATCATTGTTTTCCCATATAAACTGGATTTATCTCTTTGAATTTAAGCGCCTCATTGTGACGAAGAGTTTTGAAGAATGTGTAAGATTAGAAACAAAATATCTTAGATATTATTGTTTATTATAGTTAATAATGTTGAACTACATTATATTTTACGTTAATGTAAACTTTGATTTATTATTATGGATTTCATTTTTCTTGTTATGGATTTTAAGTTTGTTGTTATGGATGTCAAGTTTATTGGAAAATGCTACAGGTTAAATTTGGGTAATAAAAGAGTAGAAAAAAACATTTGACAAATTAGTTTTAATTTGCAAAATCAATTTCTTTTAGCTATAGAAAGGTAATTAGCGGCGTTTGTATCTTAAAACGCCGCTATAGATATGATATTTTGCGGCGTTTGTTCTAAAAAACGCCGCTATATACCAGATCTTTTGCGGTGTTTATGGGGAAAACGCCGCTAAATCTCAAGACCTATTGCGGCGTTTGTGGGAAAAACGCCGCTAAATCTCAACACCTATTGCGGCGTTTGTGGGAAAAACGCCGCTAAATCTCAACACCTATTGCGGCGTTTGTTGGAAAAATGCCGCCAAATATCAACACCTATTGCGGTGTTTGTTGGACAAACGCCGCTATATATCGTTACCTATTGCGGCGTTTTTTGTTATCAAATGCCGTGAACTTTAGCGACGCTATTTGCAGTGACGCTTTTTGCGGCGTTTGTCATAGCGCCGCAGGTATTTTTTGCGGCGCTTAAAAACGCCGCTATAGGTAAAAAAAACACCGCAAATGTACAGTTTTGCTGGAGTGCAAATTCATAAAAAGTTCTTAAATTATCATGTTGAATTTTTTTAACAAGAAATACAATAGTGTTATTATTAAACTTTAAAGAGGTAAAACTAACAAATAAACTAAGTTGACATTTGGCAAGTTTCCGGATACAAAATAAAGAGATTATAACATTTGGAAAACAATAAAGCATTAAATAGAGAATGGGACAGTGATACACTCGTTTTAAGCTTTGACGTAATTTTTATTTTTTAACATTTCAAGTTTTTAGCCATTCTTTTTGGGTGGCGTGCTTCGCATGAGGCTCTACCGGTGGAACGCCGTCTATTTCTTGTTGGGGTTTCCGATGGTCTTTGCTGTGTATGTGGTATGGATGATGAAACAGTCCTACATGCTTTACGTGATTGCACCATGGCACGAACTATTTTGGATTCTGCTAGTTTTGATTTTAATGATGCTTCTTTGCAATGCACGTCTTGTGGAGACTGCTGTGCACACCTTGTCATCACACCGATTCACCACTCTGTTAGTCCTTTGGCAAATATGGCACCGACGGAAGGTATTCTACCACGAGTCTTGCTTATTGCCTGGATGGCATATCATTTCTGCTGGAACTGCTCTTCAATCTGCGTACATCTTCACTGTTTCGACCTCCGCAGCTGGTGCTTCAGCTTCTTCTTCGCTCCTTCATGGCAGTCGTTGGTCGAAGCCTTGTCTTGACAGTTGACATTATCAAGATTAATGTCGATGGTGCTTGTCCGCACGGTTGACACTGTCTTGTCTTGACAGTATCACCAATATATATGACGGTCGGAAACTTGCTGAAAATATTTGTATTGATTTTCTTTGAAAGTTTTGTATGTATTGTATTAAAAGACATTTGTAATATATTTAAAATATTATTTGTATTTAAATATTATGTAAAACATTATTTTTGAATTTTTTTTAACTCATACTAGAGTTATAATTTAATTTACCAATTGAATAGTTATAAAGATTTGTTATTATCATTTAAAATGATGATGTAATAATATCAACACTACGAATATAATGGAGATTTGATAAATATCATAATCACGTACGAAAAAAACAATTCAGTGGTGAATGAATTATTTTTATTCCTTAAGGTTTTGAATTTGAACATCATGTATGCCGAGATATGTATTTTTATTATTAAATAACTAAAAATATTTGAAAAACATTTTCTTATATTAACCTCAAATTTATTAAAAAAATTAGAATCACGTGAAAAAATTTAACCAAACCAACAAGTTTGACATTTAGGGTCCGTTTGTTTCATTGAAAACGTTTTTCGGAAAATGTTTTCCTTAACATGAATTACATTTTTTAAAACCATTTTCTAGAAAAAATTTTACGATGTTTGGAAGATGTTATTTAAACCCTTTTTCTACTAGTTGATAAATTTTTTAAAAATTAGTTATTACAAATATTAAATACAATAAATAATATTATTTATCATAAAACTTAATATTATTATTTTTAAAATATTAAAATAATTTATTTATTATTAAAATATTATCTTTATAATTTTATTAATAAAAAAATTAATATTAGTATATTTTATTGAAATAAAAATATTATAAATTATATTAATTATTTATTAATAGAAATATTAATAAATGACCATCCAACTCAGTTGGTAGAGCACAAGGTTATTAACCTTGAGGTCGTGGGATCGAGTCTCATGGAGGGCATTTTATAATTTGGAGGTCTCCTACGGAAGTTGTTCTCAACCTAGTGTTGGGGGCAGCCTACTATCTTACCTCCCCCTTACCCTATTACATATGGGAACAAGGGACATCCATTTAATAATTAATATTTTGATTAAAATGATATTAAAATATTTTATTAATATTAAATTCATAAAATAAATTTATTTTGAGTATTTATTCTTTGAAGTGAAAAGTTCGTAAAATGACTTACGGAAAATCAGACCGTAAGTCATTTTCCAGAAAACACAGAGGATATTCTGTTGATCAGAAAAATGTTTTACGTTGATCAACCAGTTTTCCTCCAACCAAACACTGGAAAATGAGGAAAATATTTTCCGAAAAACGTTTTATGTGAAACAAACAGACCCACTTACCAATACCGCCAGATTAGTTAAATATTTATTATATCATAAAAGAAATCTAAACTATTATTATTGAAATCAACACACAGATTTGATAGGGAAGCGGTGGCGGATTGATGAACGTTGCTCTTGTTGAAGAATCAAACCTAGAAAGCTCTAGACTCAATGAAGAACAATGGGGAACGAATAGGGGAAGGTGGCGGTAGCAAGTAGGGTTCTTAGAGTTTCTTTTAAGTGCTGGAAACAAGGTAAGAAACAAGATTAAAACAAGATAGAGAAAAGAGATAAAGGAATTGCAAATAAAATAAGATAACCAAGAAATCAAAAGATCTCCCTTATGAAGGTGAACGATAAAGATGATTGATGGCGTGGATGGATATGTGGAAAATCGATGGATAATGTCCTATCGAGCCCTCCTAGTCGCAATGAAAAGGCAAATACGATAATATGGCTCTAACCAACCCTCCTAGTTGCGATGAAAAGGAAAATTGGAGTGTGAAGATTAATATCCCTCACAAGAACTTGAAAGAACTCAAGGAGAAGAAGCTTCGAAGACACAAGGCAATCAGCACTTGCAAAAACGAACTCTCGTTGTATTATTAATCAAACATATATTGAATTACAAAGTTT